TCAAGTTTTAATTCTAAGATGGAAATATCATCTCTGGACTTGATCTTAATAATGTCGTTAATAGTTTTCCATGTGCGTTTAACATCTCCTCGGTTATTCTCAAGGACGTTTTGGTAATATAATTGTTTTGATTTTCTCTGCAAGTGAGTAAGGATATTTTTATACTTTTTAAAATGGGAGCGCTGGTTTAAATTGCCCTGCAAGTACATTTTTTTGAACATATTGTTCTTGTGCCGAATTGACCTACGAATTCCTCTAGTGATCCACGGCTTAGAAAATAATTTATTTTCTTTACGTGATAAAGGACGTAAGGGGGCGTGTTTATTTATTAACCATTTTAAATGGCCAATGAAGGAGTCAAGAGAGAGATTGAAATTTTCTTTAGTTAGAGAAACACCCATATAATTATCACACATCGACTCAATTTCCGATCTGAAAGAGTCGCTACAAAAGTTTTTCATATCGCGCCTCATTCTGATTTTGTTTGGGGCCAACATTCATGCCCGAAATAGTACACATTACTGGAAAGTGGTCAGTTATATCGCTAAGCAAATAAAGGTAGAGGAGAGAAGATTTATGGTATTTGTGTAAATATGATCTATGAGGGTGTGGGAGGATGGAGTGACTCTAGTTGGTTTTGTTATTACTGGGATTACAAAGTGGGATATTAGCATGTTGAAATAGTTGGTAGTGGAATTGTCGCAGGTGTCAAGTAAGTTGATATTGAAGTCACCTAACAGTACAAATTTCTTTTTCGCCACTGCCAGCTTCTCAAATACACCAGCCATTGCTTTAGTGAATGATGGAGTACTACATTTGGGATGTTTGTAAATCACACCGATTACAAGGCTCTGGTTGTTGGAATTTAGCCTTGTCTCAATCCACAAATCCTCACAATTTGGCAAAGTTAGATCAAATTCTTGGATCACTTGATATTCTAAATTGTTTCTTATATAAAATCCAACGCCACCTGCCATGGTTGGAGTGGGGACATGAAAAAATGCGTAACCAGGGATGTCTATATTGGTAACCGAAGACCCATCTTTTAATCTGGTTTCACTGAGAGCGATTATATGCGGAAGGACATAAAAATAAGATGCCAATTCAATAAGGCTATCAACATATTTTGACAGAGATCTGATATTAAGATGCATTAAAATTAGCTCTGATGGTAGGAACTTAGATGAAGTCTCATTTATCTCACTTATTTGGAGATATTGACACTGTGTTAAGCTAAAATGACTGTTAAGATTGGCAGATTCCCAGTTTATATTTGGGGGGTAGGAGGTTAAATTATTTACAGGCAACATTGATAATTGGACTTGGGATAATAAAAGTGCATATAAGCAATCGATTATGGGTCAGTAAATAAAACTTCAATGTAGAAGGGCCACAAGCAGTTACTCCACATATAAAATGACAAGCAGTTACGGATATTAGACTTTGAGTGAGGTCTGAGACAAGTGAAAAATGGCTTGAATTAGCCATAAATAGACAAATGGTTGAGACAATGAAGGCACTTATCTGATTTTTTTTAAGTCTTCTTCGTCAGATATTGATAGGGGACTGGTGTCCTTGTTTTTTTTCACTAGCACTCTTCCATTAGAAGTCCAAAGAAAAGCGTATCCGCATTGCTTTTTGAGGATTTTAGCTTGATAGAAAAGATTTTTGTTTTTTTCAGTCAGGTTTTCCACAATAAAAGCTTTTGATAAGTTTTTTGTTAATGGTCTATTGGCAGCAGTTCTGATAAGGTGCCGATTTTTCAGAATTTTGCTCCGTATTTTTCTGTTAGTAAACTTGACTATAATAGGTTTGTGAATATTAGTATTGTGAGTTGGACTACGGTGAGTGACAGAGATGTCTGAGGGTTTGATATCGACATGGATGGATTTGCCAATCTCCATTATTATTTTGTCTGTGTCTTCATTCACTGTAGGAGGAAGACCGTGAAACTCAAGGTTGTCGAGTCTGGATCGCCTTTCTTGTTCCTCGAGTTTTTCGGTGACAAAATAAAGATCTTCTTCGAGATCATATACTAATTCTTCAAGTTCGCGTATTCTTTTACTGCATGTTGTTAATTTAACATCCATTGATTTTTGTTTTGCAGAGAGATCATCATACATATCTGAATGAAAACTCTGAGATTCCTTAATTGATGTGATGTCATGTTTCAACTCGTTTATGGACAGCGTTTGCTCTTCCATACACTCTTTAAGCCCAGGGCTCAATGGTATGTAATCCGAAGTAAGGTTTGCCGGGTTAAATTTATCTTCGAGACACTTGGCAATTAAAGCTGGAAGCTGGATCTCGATTTGTCTCTGAATTACTTCTTGCAGGTTCAGTTGAAAATTAGAAGATCCCTCAATCTGATGGTGAATGGGACCGATAGGAGAGAGGCCAGGATCTGGAAGGCTTCTGCTCATCCGTGGTTTCGGCTTTGGTGTTATGGTGTTGTTGAAAGTATTGTTCGTTTCGGTGTTCGACATGTTGCTGATTTAACCAAGATGTTGAGCTGGCAGCAATGTTTGTTAAGTTAGACTATTGCTATTTATTGGTAGATTTTAAACCTTAATCAAAACAGCAATAATGACATGTTTATGACATGTTATTCTCGCCTTCGACGAGAATAGGAAAAATAGGGGTTTTATACGTTCTTTGTAAGTGGTTATTTTGATTTCACTCACATACCGTACTTGATTGAAGGATTCGAGTGTACTTCATTATCCGTTTTTGCAACCGTTTAATTCGATTGTGCAACCAATGACATGAAACATTTCATATAATTGCATTGGTGCAATTATAAAATATATTGACATTTTGGCAACACAGATATTTTGTGTCTAGGACTTGGCCTATATGTTTGTTGTTCTAGTAGTAGTCGAATGAGGACACGCGGATAGGGATCCAATATCCATAGAGTTTTATCGGTATGAAAACCAATAGATGCCTTCATAAATCCAGTTTTTGTGCTTTCACAATCAAAATTAAGGATCGGGAGTAAACTGCACAAAGTATAAACCGTGTCTGCGAGATAACTTCTCAGATTGCGCAATGATTTTGAAATTCTTGTTTTGTTATCACGACGGATCTGCTGCCCACTAAATAGGAAGTAATCATGGATACTGTATACAGCCAGTAATCGCTGAACTTCTTTATGTATTTAGAATAAAACTTGTTGTTTTTCGAGCGAATAAGCACACATATATATATATATATATGTTAGCAAGTTACAACACACATGTGAAAAAAACACGAACACGAACCTAATGCAAGATTTTTTATCTCATTATAAATGTAGCATGTCCTCGTGATCCTCCAACCGGTTATTATTGTAGCTAGAATGCAATGATATATATCAGGGGTGGCCAACCTGCTTTCGATCGTGATCGACTAAAATCTTCAAAATTGCTCGCGGTCCCTGCATTTGGTGAATCAGACGTGAAGGATGCAGGGACCGTACTGGGGTTCTATTAATATTCTTTCTTTCTTTATACACGTTGTAGTATGGTGTGCTATACTTCTTTAGCTCTTCGAACACAGTATCACAGTTTAAGTTCTTGAGATATTTATTAGTAGTATCATATAAATCACACAGAAAGTCAACTACAGTATATATTATGTCTTATCTCATTTCATCTCCCCCTTTTCTTCCTAGTCGGTATAATTAAGGTTGACACCACAGGCTCCGCAGCTGGGTTTTTTCACCATTCTGATTTAGGGTGCGGATGGAAGCTGAATTAATGTGGTGATAATAATTTACGGGGGTGGGGCTATCGTACACGACAATCGAATGTGGCCCAATGATACCAGCAAGGTCATACAAAAAAGCGAATGAGCACTGAATATGCAGATAACTGCACACATGCTCACAATGAGCTCGGCTTTGTGGACGCATTCCTATTTGAAATCGACACAAGATTTGTATTTTTTATGTTCCATTCAAGTTGTTAATAATCTGGTTCAAGGCAATTTCTTAGGGTACGTTATTAAATTCACCCAACATCTGACGCGATCGACGTGTTGGCCACACTTGATATAATTATCTTATATCGCCAGCTGAAATTCTCAAAACTAGCGTGGAGTTGACAGTTCCGGCCAATTTTAATGTGACGACTAGGGCTGGGAATGGTTACCCGGTTAAGGGATTTTAAATGGTTACCGGTTCTATTTCTTTTCACTGGTCACTGGTTCACTCAGATATAAATCATTTTTATCTTCCGTGACGTTCATTTCAAAAGAATATCACTAGCTGCATTGGTAAGCACCCGAAGATGTAAAAATTATTTGAAATACTAGTATTGCTGATTATGAAAATTTGCTAATGATAAGTGTTTAGAATCAGTTTCCGGTCAGAATATATATATTCTTCACGATTTTATTGCAAGAGCGTCCATTCAATGTCATTCAACAAGTGCACATTCTATCGCAGGAATATATTGGCATATCGACATTCTTCTGTAAGTAAGTATGCTAGTACACTCGTTACGGATCTAGCTAGCTGATATATAGATGTACTACCTGCTGATCGCAGTTGATATTGTTTCATGATATCTCAAATAGAAGTTGCACATCGAACACTGAAAGTGTTGTCACATAAATGATCGGAATCGGATTTTACTAAAATAATTCCATACCTCGAAATACGCTGCATATCTCTTGCAGGAGAGCGACAATGTAACGATCTAGATCTGTGAATAATTTCGAGCAATATTAGAGTAAAATCACGCGAAATTCCTCTAAACGATGGTGACGTATATATAAGCTAAAATTATAACTTATTACGTCAAACGCGCTGCGGTTAAAGTGTTTTTCCCCTGAAATTCTCGGTCCTAGTGACGACACCACTAGAATCTGTTGTGCTAGAGTGCTGCAGTTTTTTTTTTTTGAGCTGTTTCCCCGGAGCTGCCATGCAGATATATATTGAATCCATAATATATATCATTCTTTTATGTATTGCATATTACTTCGATTCCATTTATTTTCCTAACTGCAGTAAATTATTTTGAAATATTATTATATAGAAGTGCGTAAATTTAGTATAAATATGTACAGTTATTCAATCCGCCGAATGCTTGCTAATGCACCAGTTCGCCGAGTTCCAGTTCTAAGCGAAACATTTCTCAATTACGTGACTCCCATTGCGTAAAACCTGAAACCATACAACATGGGGAGCTTCCTCGGAAAGTATGCTTCAATTAATGCTCTAATAGTTTCTATCAAATAATTATAAGTATTCTAATGTTTCCAAATGTTTTCAACTGATCTTGCATAGATAAAGAGTGCGTGATAGCTTCATTAGTTCAATAATTTCTCCAGTATACTGGTTTCCTTATCTTTTTGCTCTTCACTCGTCCAGTCGGTAGCGTGATTCAGAGCGATTAATGCTGTTTGGTAAAGTTCTTTTGCCTTCTCAACCTTTTTCAAGTTTCGATGAGAATGGCCCATTCCGGCTATACTGCGACCATATACCTGAAAATTATATGATGGAAAAATACAGTAATTAAATTACGTAAAAAGGGACGTTTTGTACTGGGATTAGACAACGTCGTAACGAAACACGGATGTATCTGAATCGTTCTATGCTCAAGACAATTTTTAATTTGAAAATTATTATTTAAAATGTTTTAAAAAATGGGATCTTTTGTACAAAACGCCCTAATGCAAATATGTGAAATTTGAGCAAAAAAACTCGCCACGTTTTAAAAAATAACAAATCAGTAATTATCCAAAAATTTGAGTTGGGTTGCGCGAGACTAACTTCCTATCTTTTCTCTATGCCTTTATGCTAGTGGATCCGTATGCGTATACTGAAAAGATACTGTAGCTGGAATAAACATGACTATTCTATCCAATTAAAGAGTCCAGCTGCACACTAACACAAATGTATTTTTGTAACTTTTCGTCCGACCAGAGTCAGACTTCCTCAGACAAGCAGTTTACAACAAAAAATTTTGATTGTTGTAAACTGCTTTTCTGAGGAAGTCTGACTCTGGTCGGACGAAACGTTACAGAAATACATTTGTGTTAGTGTGCAGCTGGACTCTTTAATTGGATAGAATCAGTGGCGTAGAACCCACCCCCGCAACCCCCGCGGTCGCGGGGGTTGCACAGCGTAAAGGGGCCCAAGCGGTTAGAATTTAGAAATTAAGCCGCAAAACCAAAGGCTGCATTGCAAAACCAGTAATGCACATCTATAACGTTGATGTTAGTTCTGCTCAAATCGTTTTGTTACGTAACAATGCCAGGGAGTCGTCGATTTTCGGCGTCTTGGGGTTTGATCGCACCGGCAAAATTACGAAGGCTGTCAGAATTACGTCGAAACCAAAACCTCTCAGTGGCCCACAGAAACGCAGAAAAAGGGCAGAAGAGGAAGCACGTATGAAAAAAATCAAAGTAACCAAGATGAACGGCAAATTTTAGGTTACCATTGCCTTTTAATAGCGACATTTTATGCTTTTTGACGAAATAAAAAAAGCGTTGTTTTAGCTTATGTCCGAGAGTTTTTAGGGTCATTTCCACGAAATATTTTTTTTGGGGGGGGGGGAGGGGGGCACGAGAGTCTTGCTACGCCACTGGATAGAATAGTAATTATCCAGTTGGGGTTTGGGTTAGAGTTAGGAATGATTTGAAAATTTTAATTACCAGCGCAATCTACATTTCTAACACTAACCGGATATTTACTAATTTTAAGCGTTGGCTTTAAAAAATTCGTAGCATTCAGCCAGCCTACTCACTTATAGAAATACACGCTCCAAATATCATATTTAAGGTTAATTTCAACATGTTGCCATAAAGAGAGAGAATGAGTTAGTTAGACTAATTATTCGACGAACTTGATAATGCACTGCTTCGTCCTTAAATTCCAATTGCATCAATTGGACAGCATTTTCGTGTGACTTCAAAGCAAGCTCGTCGTCCCCAACCACTCTGTAGCAAATTCCTGCGTTGAACATACACCTGGCTTTCTGCTCAGTTATCGCATTCGGACTAACACCATGTATCTGGTCCATGGTTTTCACCCCATCCAGCAGTAAAGGTATTATGGATTCTAGAATATTATTTTAGATAGGTATTTGGCGATGCTTGTATTGATATGTTTAATTAGAATAGAATAGGATTTTACATATTTATCCCGGGGGAGAGGAAATCCGATAAGACGACTTAACCATATGGCGAACCACGGTCTCTCGCCCTGTTACCATTCCAGGTCGGGTATGGGATTAGTTAGTTATTTGTTTTTGGAAGCATGGACTTGATGGGGGAGGAAGCTGTAACCGACCAGCGGTTACGTGAACCACCCTACAGTGGGATAGACAGTGGTTTGAGACCGGCAAGCAGTTTCACAGTGGATCAGTGCAGTAATTTTCAAACTTTTTAGGCCGCGCACCCTTTTTATAACTTGTCAAGTTTCGCTCCCCGTCTCGGAAATACCTATCTAACAACAAGCTACAAATAATAGATAGTAAGACGAATGTATGACTTATTCAAAAGACACGTTTAAAATACGTGAATGAAATAGCAATATCTAAACAATGAAGAAATGTAAATATCCCAAATAAGGCGGGCAAGATCAAATCTAACAACCAATTCTTTTTTTTTCAAATTAGCTCCACGAGACGATGGATTCAGAAAAAAAACTGTCAGGTTCATAGAATTGCCAGACCCAAATACGACAGTGATGTTATCCGACGTTTAAGTATCCCAACTTTTCCATTGATATCAGTTTGGTATTTCAATCTATGCTTTATGGATATTTTCTCCAGAACATATTACTATAATGCAATTTTTTGTTAAAAGGATACCGTCTGAAGAGGGTAGACCACTAATAGTCGTCCTTGCTTTTGATAATGTATACTGCATATAACCAACTATTGTTGCTTCGGTCATACCTTTTATCACAATCAGTATGCTTGGATCCGCTTTCGCTGCGCTGTTTACAATCCCTGTTATGTGTTTGATGCACGATTTAATACCTCTGACAGCTGCATCTCCGGATAGGTTAATTTTGCAAAGCTCAATACCAGCCATATATAAAGCAATGCTCCTCATTTCATTTTTGGAAGTGGCATAATCCTGCGCTATGTCCATTACATCTGATGTGGTTGGACGCAAAATCAGCATTGATTCTGTGACTAATTCGATATCATTCTTTATGCCACGTCTTCCTGATTGAATCTATTATATTTTGAACAGTCTTAGTGTGAATATCAAACAAGTATAATATGTGTATTTCTATATATATGATGCCATATGCCTAATCTATCGGCTAGTTTCGATTAATTTCGAAAGGAGTGCAGATCCCTATAGTTTTACCCATAGTAGCCTAATTTTCTATACTTTTACATCATTTTTTTGTCTATTTCTGACATGGCTGTTTTATGCCCTAACACCTCAATATAAATTTTCGTTTACATTTAATTAATAGGTGAATTATTGTATCAAATGCTAGCCGAAAAGGGAAATAATGTATATATATATTATGTACTAACTTGGGACTCGGAATATACAGCCGCTATTTCGCAACGTTATTTCACCCATGGTGTGAATTTCGTTTGTTCATCAAACAATACTTTAAATTGCATATATAAATTTGCTTTTTCGACTACGATGTAGAAACTTCATGAATTTCGCTTGTCCAAATAGGGAAATACTACATGCCTGGTTCACCTTTTTGTGTCAGAGAAAATCAATCATACTGTACAGATTTTTTTTTGTCAAAATTTAAAATAATAGCGATTGGGTATATTCATCCAGCATCACTGTTTTAAGGAAAATACTTTTGATTTGTACTGTGGCTTGAAGTTTGTGTCGTCTGCAATATTCATCGAACCGATATTAAATGGAATCGGAAACAACGTGAAACAGTCCCACAATAAGGGGCGTCATTTTGTGCCACAGGTATAGCGCAAAATGAAATGATTTTTTATCCTCAAGGTGCTTTTCACAATTTTAATCACTTGCCAACTGACCTCACATTCTATCTTCATTAGGAGAGTGTGGAGCCGATCCCATCCTTCTGTTTGTTGGGTTAGAAGTTCGTTAATCAATTCAAGTGCTCGGTTGTATTTTGAGCTTTTAACTAATTGCTGGACAGTGGCTGCGAAGGAATAAAAGGTAACAGGACATCATAAAAAAAATCGATGAAGTTGTTGAAATCGCAACTCCCAGGGATACACTATCCTATTAAATATTAGAATTTTAACGGAGCCGTTAAGTCGACACCGAAATCGTATTTTCAAATTCGTCGGAGTTTAAATTTTATTTCTCGAATGTCGGAGTCGATATTTCAACTGAAACAGACAAAGATTGGAATCATCGACGCGGTGCTCAGGAGGAGGAGCCAAAATGTTCGTCAACTTTGCTGTGTTGGGAGTCGAATAAAACTCCACAGTGCTGATTTGGGCACAGTCTTTTGTTACGATTATTTATCGTTTGATATGCAAAAGTAAATTGGGATGTAACAACTTGACGATGAATGTTGTTTTTAAACGGTACTAAACTTTTTTTTATATCGGTTTTTTACATACCTATGAGATCAATTCGCCTGAAGTTCTTCTTCATTCCGCCTTCATTTACCAAAGATGCCTCAGAAGATTTTTTTGTTGGACTCTTAGCTGTTTTATTCACTTGTGCATATGTTGTCTCATTATCTGCCATAGCGTTAAACACGATGATTCTATCTGTCATATTATACTAACTGAATTCAGTTAAACCAATACCTTTGTGTGCAGGAAAGTGATTTACCGCAGTGTTGAACAGTCAACTTAAAATGTCAACATGCGCCGGTGAGGAACAAATCGAGCCATCAATGTTGATTTATCGGTCGTACTAGCTAGGTAAAATTTTATTTGTTTGTTTTTCATTTGCTTCGGTGGTACATCATGTCATTTGTACACGAAACTGTCTGCTGGGTACATAGTATGAAAATGGTGTCCTGATTGTACGTATCAATCAATTACTGATGATACATTTAACATGGTGCGCTGCATTCGAAACACAATTCACAGACGGAAATTGTCGCCAAAGATAGCGTTAAATGCCTTTGTAAACTATCTAGGTCTTAAATGGAAATACTATTTTAGGCATTGTAAGCTTTTCGATCTTCTTTCATTTTTACGTTTTATTAATGAGGGGACACGGTAAGGAATTTTTAAAAATATTGATTACGGTATATCGAATATATTAATATCAGATTGCAAATATTCGGGTGAAATTTTGGTCCCACAGAAGTACAGAACAATAAAATTAAAAGAAAAGTGTAAAAAGCCCAGACAATTAGAGGTGGCTGTGTTGATGGACTTCTCGCCGTCGTTTAAAAAGTATGGCAAACGCTGGCAATTTGCAGCTCGTTCCACCATTCAAGTTCATACTGGAGGGAACGGTTATCAGTTAGCTATACTCGACATGATTAGATAACCAGTTACATATCGTCACGCTAATAACCGAATTGCGTAAGTCATTTTTGGCGGTTTTGAGTTTTTTATAAAATAGGTATCTATGTAATGCTGCGCACCTGTCTGTTAACTCAGAATTTATTTTAAGAATTCCGAAACCCATAAAAATAAAGATTTTGTATGGTATGCAAATTTGTTCAATTGTTTTGTCATAATGAATTATCTTTGTCAACGCAGGACTATTGTGACGTCACAAAGTCAAAATAACCTCTCCGAAGGATTTTTGAGTTTTTACATCTCAGATTCTAGCTTGGCGCTTATAAATTTCAATTTATACTACAGTATAGGAAGGCGTGCACTTGTGATATTCACTGTCTGAGTCCAATTCACCTTGGCTTTTATATAAGGGTACATTGCTGTTTTATTCTCTGTATTTAACTTTACTCTTATTTCGGTGGAGGTACAGAGCGTGTTATATTGATGAAATATATATTTTGAAACATAAAAAATAATGTAATTAAAACAGATTAGCTATTTTGGGGATTAGACATCGTATATACTAAGAATTACATTCGTTTTTGGATTGTTTGGTTTTCAGGACTGGTACATATAGTCAAGTTGCAAAATTGCGTATGTCCCCTAGTCATAGACACATTTTTGCCTAAGTCACAGTGCCCCATTATGACGTCACATGACTGCGTCATACAAATTAACTTAAATCCGGCTACGATCAAAAAATTGAACTATGGCAAATTATTGACTCTCAATGGCATAGCAATATCATTATGAAGTTTTTTACGTTTTTATCAAAACTGCTAAAAATGACTTACGCAATTCGGTTATTAGCGTGACGATATTTCAATAAAACACTTTCGCTGGTCTTGTGATCGACTGGTGCATATGAGTCCAATTTTTGAGACCGCAAATAGTTTCACAATCGGGTTAATAACGTGCAATACATATACAACCTAAAGAATGCAAATACAGCCACCGAATATACGTATGAAGCCAACGTCTTATGCACATACAGTCAACTCAAAATACATAAAGAGCCATTCAAGTGATGTACAACACAGCAAATATGCATGCACTGCGTGCAGCAATATTGTTGCCGCCCTTAAGGCAAAGACAGATTCAGTCGTTTGTAGCGCATAACGACACTAACACGTTAAAATACTTTTCATGTATCCGTGGTACTTGAGTATAACGAATAGATAGTAGGTTGCAATCTACGATGTCATGATGTCACCCAACAGCCGATCGATTGACGTTTTTGGACTCTCATGAAAACTCAAAAACGTCCTACTTATTTACCCAAAGCTATTCTGCGGGAAACTTGTAGTAGTTTGTCATTTAAAAATGCTATTAGCTGGATCCAAAATGTTGCATTTTGCATTATGTAGAAACAGTGAAAATGTGAATGTGAAACTGGAGAAATTCGGATTCAGAACTGGAAAAGGCAATATCGTCGTACTTATTCAGCAGTTTAGATTTAAAAATATAACGAATACCTAACTAGAAAATGACACATGTCAAATTAACCGTGAAAATACCCTGCCAATCACATGGAAAATATTCCGTACAATGGCGGAGATTCATTTTGGTGCATGTGAAATCGGAACGTAAAACGTTGCAATGGTATATATAATGAAGAATATGTATAGTGTGATTCCGTATTTTGGAAGGAGTTCAATTTGAGTCAGAAAGAGTAAACACCCAATTTTATTGAAAACATTGCTATTTGTCGATATTTGATATTCAAATGATTAAGTTAGCAACGTGGAACCGATTTCATATCTTTCTGTAAAGCAGTTTCATGGTTGGAGATATAGTTTTGATTTCCGAGAGGCGCTAAAATAACTCACCCTCTGGATGATAATAAATTCGTGACACGGAATAGTTTTCGCTAATAATTCGGTTTCTGTAGGACTAACTACTTATCCTTCTTCTATGCTTTTGTTCCGGTGGATCATTATGGATATATAGGATGCTGTAGCAGGAGTAAGGATAACTCGAATTACTATAAAGATAGTTCTTCGTAAAACAAATCAAAATGGATTCGATCGCTTATCCATATGCATTAATGGTAAATTTCTAGGTAAACGATTAAGGAAGTCATGTGTGCTGTTCAATACGCAGTAACATTAATCAGTTTTAGCTAGAAATCGTCACGTTCAACCGGAAAAAGTACAAGTGGGTCTATTGCTGATAGTAATGGTATACTATGAATACTACTATAAATATGGTTGTATCAAGAGAATTTTCATACTTGAAAAAAGGCGGCCTCGTCATATGGTGAACGACGACCCCCCGTGTGCTAACAGTACAGCACCATGCGTGTGGTGAAGGTATAGAATAGAAAGTTGAATTACCCCTTGTTAGAAAGCGGACTTGTTGCAGCTAGAAGAGTTGCAAGCAAGCGCGATCGATATATTTTTATTGCAACGAAATGGCCAATTAACATCGCCCGCCAAATAAATAAAAGTTTGGCCACATTTCAGAAATTTTTAGAATAAATTTATCAAGAGCTTCCTCAATCAAATATTCAAATTATTGTTTGTAGTGTCTCGATAGCCATCTACCTAGTCCTCAAGATAGAAAAAGAGACAATTGTCCTTTTTTCTAAGTAGAGGAACGATTGCTTTACGACTTCGTACTAGAGAAGTAGAGATGTAACGGTATCGGCAATATCGGCCAAATTTAAAGGTATCGGTAGTGTATCGGTATCGGTTAAATGTGAACCGATATTTTCGATATATTTAGCTTTTTAATATGACCCAGAACGTTTTGGAAAACAAGTTTGAATACTGATGTTGAACATTAATATCTTGTTATTCAATATACAGGGACACGAAAACCGTATGATTTCCGGGAAAGTGATGGTAAAACATTTCGTCGTGTCCATATATTTGAGCATAGCTCTCTTGTTAGTTATAAAGAGAGAAATATATTCCACATTAACGATATACTTCGTGAAGGGACTGATGGACACATGTATAATAGTTATGAGCATAAAGTTAACAAAGTCCGTAAATTTCGTTGTTTGCTCTTCATACATTTAGTCCCATTTAGTAGACGCTAAACCTAAATTTAACAATTTTTATTGAATTTTATTCCAATGGGATGGGACAGGCATAATTGCTATGGGATGGGACAAAAAATATGTCCCATGGAAAAGCCTGGTAATATTTTTTCTTTTTCAATCTAAAATGATGTGCAATATTAATAATGCTCAAATACTCTTGTTTTATCCCATCTGTTCTGCACACTTGAGGTAATAATTACATAGTATATATCGGAATATTGGCCTTTTTGGAATATCGGTGTATCGGCGTTTTCGGTTGATATCGGATCGGTATCGGCGACAAAAGTGGTATCTGTACATCTCTAACGTACACTAAAATTAAATCGTCTTTGCAATTTTCACAGATTTTTACACCGAAATGAAGAATTTGAAAACACATCTATATATACATAGTGAATATCTGCCTTAGTTTGATGACGATAGTAAGTCTGATTCAAATTACAGTAAGCCAAATCATGATCTTCATCAAGAAACGATTATATAAAACAAATATCAAAGGCATAAAAGATATTTTCGAGCCTGAAAATATACCATTCTGTATGAATGTTCTTCTCATTCTGGCTGGGATTTTCGGTATATCGATGAATATGTGCTCGGTAGGGTGGGAAATGCATTGTGTGCTGAAAGAAAACGGAGACATCGAGAGATGTCACGAAACAATCGACACCAGGTTGACTGATGCCATAATTGTCTTCTATATATGTTTCATAAATAATATTTACTTAGCATCATGGTTCCGCCAAGCAATGTTCTATACAGAGTCAGCTTTGAAACGACTTTCTCCTAAACGTTTAAGAATGTTTAGTTACTTTCAGGGGTGTTTTGTAGTAATATCTAGCTTTGCTGCGATAATAATTCGGATTTTCGCAACTATGACATACCGGATGGAGAATTGGAAATTTCTTTCCAAACTGCTGTTAGGGACCCAGATCGAAACGCAAACTGCCATGCTGGTCCTCTTTATAATCCCTCTAATCAGGCATCAACGTAGCCTGAAATATCTACATCAGAATCAAAGGCCGCCTGATCATTTTTTAAAACTACTGAAACGATCCGTAATAGCTACGTTAACTGCTGTTATCACAGACATAGCATCAGTTGTCGTCGTTCTCGAGATTGAAGTTTATTTTTTATCCATCAATTCTCTTATAAATATGTGCTGTGTCCTATTTTGCTTCGTGGACTGGAAAGAAAAACTGCTTCCTCGTTTGCTTTGTTGTAAAAATGAAAACGAAATCTCTGGACAAGTTTCTCCAAATGATGGCAGACGCA